CAGCTCATGAGAGTGTGTGTGACCAAATGCCTTTGGGGAGGGTGGGTAACGGTGCTGTAGGAAGTACTCTAGGTCAACCTTTGTAAAAACGTGAAGAGAATCTGTGCAGAACCTAAATCTGACACCCTGACGCTGGGAGTAACCTCTGCCCTTTGTCATCGTAGGAAGATATGGCTGCACACGTCGGTGCTTCCCGGACTCCCCAAGAGGTGATGGAGCATTACGTGAGCATGTACATCCACGGGAACCTGGGGAAGGCCTGCATCCCTGACACCATCCCCAACCGTGTGACCGACCACACCTGTCCCAGCGGAGGCCCCCTCTCACCCAGCCTCACCACCCCGCTGCCGCCACTGGACATCTCCGTGGCCGAGCAGCAGCAGCTGGGCTACATGCCGCTGCGGGACGACTACGAGATCGAATATGACCAGGATGCCGAGACGCTCATTAGCGGGCTCTCTGTTAACTATGACGACGACGACGTGGAGATCGAGCTGAAGCGCGCCCACGTGGACATGTACGTGCGGAAGCTGAAAGAGAGACAGCGGCGGAAGAACATCGCCCGTGACTACAATCTAGTGCCAGCCTTCCTGGGGAAGGACAAGAAGGAGAAGGAAAAGGCGCTGAAGCGCAAGATCACCAAGGAGGAGAAGGAGCTGCGCCTGAAGCTGCGGCCGCTGTACCAGTTCATGTCATGCAAGGAGTTTGATGACCTTTTTGAAAACATGCACAAAGAAAAAATGCTCCGGGCCAAGATCCGAGAACTGCAGCGGTACCGGCGAAACGGGATCACCAAGATGGAAGAGTCGGCAGAGTACGAGGCAGCGCGGCATAAGCGGGAGAAGAGGAAGGAGAACAAAAACCTAGCGGGCTCCAAACGGGGAAAGGAGGACGGCAAAGACGGCGAGTTCGCCGCCATTGAGAACCTTCCGGGCTTCGAGCTCCTGTCGGATCGCGAGAAGGTGCTCTGCAGCTCTTTAAACTTGAGTCCGGCCCGCTACGTGACTGTGAAGACTATTATAATTAAAGACCACCTCCAGAAGCGGCAAGGAATCCCCTCGAAAAGCCGCCTTCCTAGCTACCTGGACAAAGTCCTAAAGAAAAGGATTTTGAATTTCCTCACAGAAAGCGGCTGGATCTCCAGGGACGCGTCTTGAAGCTGAGACGCTTTGAAAGCCAGAGTGATGCTCAGACGGCGCGCCAGCCAAAAGACTTGGTGGAGGGGAGCCGCTTCCCCATTGTTGCTCTTTTTTAAACAAATGGAGTTCCTTTTTTTAAGACAAATTCTTTTCATGGTCCTCTGAAAGCAGCAATAGTAACAATCTTATATTGGATCATGGGGGAGGCAAACGTGTCTATTTTAACTTAGTTCTGCAAGTCGTACACTGAGATGATGCTCTGCCTTTACCTGTTCAGTTCGGAGCTTATTGTGAGATTGGATAATTTCCTTTTGAGTGTTCTTCCCTTTGGTACAAAAGCTATTGTGGGTGACAGAAGCAGTGTTTTCCTGCTGGACCGACAAGCCACCAGCTATTTCCTGGTGATGCAAGCTCTTCTCAGGCGGGGCTGCCTGCAGGCTCCTCTTTTCTGAGCCCACGCTGCCCACAGCTGACCCCAGCGCAGCCCCGGGCACGCGGCACTTTACATGGGGGCAGCTTGGGCCCAGACTCCTCCGCCTTGTAGCAGATGAGGAATCAGGCCAGAGGACAATAGGCTGGCATTTTGTTGGGAACTGAAGAGGAATCTGTTGAACACAGCAACCAGATGACCTTCCATTTCACCCGCGGCAGCAGTTTCAGCCTGCAGTTCCCAAACCCCACAGCTGACCCTGCACCTCATTCGAATACGGCCAGAGCCTGCTGGTTCACTTTGGGTAGAGCCGTGCCCCTTGGGCAGGCTCCCATAGTGGCCACGTCCCCACGAATGGGAAAGCACGTTAGTGGGAGGGACGTAGGACACGTGTGGACCGCCAGGCCCTCTCAACCCTTTTCCTGGGGCTGCTCGGTGCTGCTGTTAGATGTGCAGTGCATTTCACTTGGAAGAACCCATTGTATAAAGTTCAAGGCTGAGAGTTCTGAATTCTGGCGTCAGCTTCCTCAGGATTTTCTTCAGTTGCAAGTACCTTTCCACTGAAAATGTGAGCATGCCCGCCTGGCTAGGCATCTTTAAGAGTGTCGCCAGGCCCGTGCCAGCTGAGGCCTCAGACTAGCCAGGCGAGAGCCGTCTGACCGGTTGGTTGGCGGTGGTTCTGGCTGAGCACGAGGGAGCCCGGGCGGTGTCCCTGAGCCTCCAGCTGCTCCCTGTTCACTGTCTTGAATCAGACTCAGCAATGGCTTCTTCACAGCCCTGCCTACAAGCTGTTCTCTGGGGCCCTCTTTCGAGGGTGTCCACGGTACCTTCCTCCGGAAACTTGAGGAACTCTTTTGTCTTCCAGCTGCTCAGGGTTCTCCGGTCCAAGACCCTGCTTTAACGAGAGTCTGTGGCGTGCTCAGACTCCAGCGCTCCGTTCTTCAAGGAGGTTGACTTGCCTCTCGGGCCCCATAGGTACCAAGAGACTGTTCACCTCCCAGAATGTTTGGGCTTGAAGTTACATTAAAGTGAAGTTATTTGAAAGAAAACCTCATCATTTCTAAGGATGACTTAATTACTGTGCCTTTTCCTTTCTTTTTACACATCCTTCTGTCCCTTAGGGTAAAATTTTCAGCATTAAATAAAACATTTCAAATATATTGTATATGGCTTTAGTTGTAAACTATACTGCATGCTGACAGAGAAGTGCTCTTTTAGCTAAGCCCAGAACTTCTCTTTTGACAATAAAGTACTGAGCAGTGGTATCATGAGGGCCACCTCCACACTGTCCCCTGCAGAATAAATGCGGATGACAGAAAGCTGATGCTGTCTACCACTGAACAGTGATGGAGATGGTGCTAAGTTTTTACGGTTGTCTTAGCCCTAGTGGTCCTCAAAGTGGGGTTCCTGGCCCAGCAGCGGCATCCCCTAGGAATCTGTTAGAATGCAGATGCACAGGCCCCACCTGGCCTCCTGCATCAAAGTGGTGTGCGGCGGGGTGCAGCAAGCGGTTTTCACAAGCCCTCCAGGTGACTGGATGGAAGCTTGCTTGGGAACCATGGGTTTTAGCTATTCTGGTGTCTCCCTGATTTTCTACAACGCCAGGATCCTAGTTTGGTGAGGTTTTAAATTTAATCTTATTTTTATATAAAATGATTGCCAGACTTATTATATTAAGCTTGAAGAAGCAGAAGATCCCTGTTAATGTGTATGGCCCAGGCCAAGAGCTGTCAAATGAAAAACTTTGTGCTTAAGCAGGTTTTTAGTATGTATATCTTTTTGATGGTATGAAGAATTTATTTAGGCTTGACTGTTTTAAAACACCATAATGAATGTATAATTAATTTATGTTAAAGTAATAACCCTTTGTCACAAGGGAATGGTAATGTTGTGATTGGCTGCCTCTTAGCCCATCGACTATTCCCATCATGGTAGTCCTTACCTCTGTTGGCAGCTCAGAGCCTCCACATTTTTATATTTAATTCTCATGATAAATTAGCCAGCATAATCTCATGGAATTAGGCCTTGTTAAAATCTAGGCCAGGCACAGTGGCTCACACCTGTAATCCCAGCACTTTGGGAGGCCGAGGCGAGCTGATCACAAGGTGAAGAGATCAAGACCATCCTGGCCAACATGGTGAAATCCTGTCTCTACTAAAAATACAAAAATTAGCTGGGTGTGGTGGTGCACGCCTGTAGTCCAAGCTACTTGGGAGGCTGAGGTAGGAGAATTGCTTGAACCCAGGAGGCAGAGGTTGCAGTGAGCTGAGATCACACCACTTACACTCCAGCCTGGTGACAGAGCGAGACTCCGTCTCCAAAAAAAAAAAAAAAAAAAATTTAAGCAAACTATCTTTGAGTCAAAAAAGTTGGATAACTCACCTATTTTAAATAATGCTGTCTGAATGGCCAACATCCCAAGAATGTATTAAAAACAGCAACCCTGCCTACCGTTTTGATGACCTTTTTCCATATTAAACACGTTGAGAACAAAAGAGTGTCACCGCTTGCTTCTTACCTCTGGTTGTGAAGTCAGATGTCTTCTCTGAGCCACACAGAGCTAGGGGTGAGCCACAGTTCAAACAGATACAGATTGTCACATGGCATACTTCAAAGTTTGGTACTTTGTATCAAACCAGTTTTTCCTCCAGATTAAAGTTGCTTTGTCTTTTTTCTTTTTTTGAGACAGTGTCGTGCTTGTTGTTCAGGCTGGAGTTCAATGGCACAATCTTGGCTCACTGCAACCTCTGCCTCCTGGATTGAAGCGATTCTCCTTGCCTCAGCCTCCCAAGTAGCTGGGATTAACAGGCACCCACCACCACGCCCAGCTTATTTTTTGTATTTTTAGTAGAGATGGTTTTTCACCATGTTGGCCAGGCTGGTCTTAAACTCCTGACCTCAGGCGATTCACCCACCTCTGCCTCCCAATGTGCTGGGATTACAAGCGTGAGCCACTGCACCCGACCTAAAATTGCTTTCTCTTAAGCAGAAACTCCTTCGTGCCAGTTGCTCTCCTCCCTCAAAGCAGCAGTACAGCCAGAGAAAGCCAAATGGGTCCGAGTCTTTCAGGAATCCAGACTGACTTGCAGATGCCTCTGAGACTTCCAGTTCTGGTTTTGACTGTCCACACACACACTTGACTCATGCTGCAATTATGCTAAATCCAGTAACTACTAGAATGTAGCTGAACAAATCTAATTTCTACTGTAAATATATACATAATTAAAAGACATTTTCCTGTTACAGGTTGAGTATCCCTGAATCTGAAATGCTGCAAAATCGGAAACTTTCTGAGTGCCTACGTGACACTCAAAGGAGATGCTCATTTCAAGCATTTTGGATTTCGGGATTGGGGACACTTAACTAGCAAGTATAATGCCAAGTAGTCAAGCAGAGAATCTCGTTTCAGTCAATGAGGGGCCACATATTACAACACTGTTCTCACTGTACCTTTAGTATGTTATGTTCAGATACACAGATTCCATTGTGTTAACAGATGCTTACAGTATCAGTACAGTAACTGCTTTCCAATTTAGGAGCAATAGGCTACACCATATAGCCTAGGTGTGGAGTAGGCTACACCTGTGTTTTTAGGTACCTGTGGGTACACATGGTGTTCACAGGAAGAAACTGCCTGATGACTTATTTCTCAGAACACATCCCTGTGGTTAAGCCATGCTTGACTATATTCCAAAATCCAAAACCCCCCAAGTTTGAAACAATTCTGGTTCTAAGCATTTCAGATGATACCCAACTTACCGTTTGACTGTGGATGCCTGAAGGTTACTATAAAAAATATTTTACCATATGAAGCTATATTGCCTCTAGGTTATGAGTTAAGTGCTTTTTAGCAACTGCAGCTCTAGCTGAGAAGGGAGGAGACTGCAAATATTCACAGAAATGAGTTGATAAATTACTTTTCTTAGCCTCCATTTTACTCTGGAGCTCCAGGGCTGATGATGCACTCACAACCCCACAGCGTGCACACAGGCAGCGCTGGAGCTCCCAGTCATGTTTTCTCCGATATACATGCTGCCTTTAGTTGTTTCTGACCACATTAATTGAAGGCATCTTAAAGGTGGAACATGTTGGGAATGGTATCCCAGGCTGAAGTATGATGGGACCATTACCTGCATCTTTTAAAATCAGAAGTGAAATAAACTGTGCCCCATCTTTTCTAGGCAGCAAATGGCTTTCACCAGTATCTTCAATTCTAGAAGCAAAGGCAGCGAAAGGTTCTTTTCTTTTTCATAAGAGACTCCAATCATTCAGCCTTTTTCTAAGCCCTAGATGACCATGCAAATGAGGAACACAGTCCTTTCGCAAGACGATTTTGCAAATCCTGTGCCCTTGCTGTGGCTCCTAGGTGTTTCATATTCTTACCATGCCAGGCTGCAGCTGCACTGGGCGAGTGTGGCTCTCCCTTTCCGTGCAGAAGTGTGTGCATGTGTGTACGTGAGTGTACACGCACGCACATGTCAAGCTGACAGCTTCAGGGCTGGAGCAGAGAATGGGAAGGCTAAGCCATGCTTGCCTCAGTGGCAAGGATCTCCACGAGTGGACACAAAATTGTTATCAGAAAGTAGGAAAATAAACATTAGGGCTTTAATCCTCTTAAATAAAATTTTTAAATTAAACATTAACATTTAAAGTACACCAAGCGTGCAGTCCTATTTTGAGAAAGTCCATTTTGCCAGGGAATACACCTTGAGGTCGTTAGTAACTAGTTGAATATGATTTAAATATGTCTGCATTTAGATGAACAGAACAGGGTAAAAGGACCTTTGCCAAGCCAAGCTCAATTCCTGGCCAAATAATGGTGCTGAGAATTGTCAGTGCCCACGCCCATTTCTCAGTGGTCAGTTTCAGCCGCTGTTGACTGATGACAAACGAACTCACTATGTTCTTCACAAAGATCATTTTTTGTATGAAAAATGTTTCAACTCTTGGCTTTCCTTCAGCGAATGAAATGTGATGGGCTAAATATGCCAGTCACTCATGCGCCGCACGCAGTGAGCTGCAGGGACACACGGTGCAGACTGGCGCGTCCAGGTAGCCAAACAGAATTCCCCAAGACCTTTTATTTGTTTAAAATACTTTGGTGTCAGCAGAGTCTGAGCAGACACATTACTCATGATGCTCAGGAGACCTGGCAGAGCCCCGCTGAGCTCTTCTAAGTATGTGGAACTATTCAACGCGTGGCACTAAAAGGGAACAGACTCCCGAATTACAGTTCATTAACGCAGTTATGCAACCCGCTTCATTTTCTGTTTAGCCACTGGTTACTTAAGGTTTCCAACAAGGTTTGGGAAAAGGTCACATGTACTCAAAGATGAGAAACAATGAACCAGCCTTAAGAGTTACAGCAAGTGAGTTTAAAAACACCCACCCCATCAATAGCAGCTAAGCTTCCTTCACCACCCCCACCAGGGCGGGTCTCAGAGTGCGCCCATGCAGCTTGTACCCCACTTTGCTAACTAGGGCCACTGTGCCCGGCTCCTTCCCCTCAACGGGCGTGTGGAACAAGGCCTCATGTTCATAAGGGTCGAACTTGGCTCCGACAGGGTTCAACTTGAGCAAGCCGTGCTTTGTGAACACCTTCTGGATCTGGACTTCAGTCATGACCAGCCCCTCATAGAGGTTCTTCAGGTGAGGGTTATCGTCTTTAATTTCTTCTTTAGGAACACACTGTGTTGCCTTCTCCAGAACGTCTGCCACCTCCAACAAGTCCTTGCAGAAGGCTTGAATGCCTGAAGTTAAAGAAGATCATTTGCACTCCATACCAACTGCACAGGGCAATTCCAACCTGAGCACTGCTGACCTGATGTGGAGGCTATTTAATAACTTGTCAAATCAGTTGCCTCAGAATTCCAATAGCTCAGTAACTTCAACAACACAAAACCCTCAAAAGCTATTTGTGGGATGAGACCCAGAATTTACTAAATTTAGAATTTACTAAAATGTGAAGAAAGGGGGGAAAATAGCCTTGAGACATCCAAGCCCAGATGTCAAGTAAGCAGTAAGATATAGAGGACTGGAACTCAGAAGATCCGAGTTTGAAGCCGAGTTTGAAGCCGAGACTTGTGTGTGGATGCCATTAAGCCCATAAGAGTGTGTAAGTCACCCAGGGACCACAGCAAGGGGAGAGAACCTAGGCCTGGTACTGAGTCCCAAGGGCCCAGACATTTACAGGTCAGAAAGGGTAAGAACCAACAAAGCACATTACCACAAAGAGAGGCAGAATACCAAGAGACAGGCCACAGCATCCAGGAAAAAAGTGTTTCAAGGAGCGCTTCAATCTCTGTGAACGCGGCACAGACTCTGGTTCTTAGTTTCCACGTAGCCTCTCACCCTGTCTGACCCGGGGCAAGCCTTTTACCCTCCACTGAGCCTTAGGTTCTGCACCTCTAATACCCACTGTCAGTCACGCAGAGACCCGCAGCCAGCACTCAAACACCAGCCTGTGGAGCTGGGAGCCTGGGTTATGTACCAGCTTTGTGATGTGGGGCAGGTGACTAAACCGCAATGATCTCAACTGTAAAAATGGGAAGAACAGTGACAAAAACATCCAAAGGTGGCAATGCATATAGCACGCTGGGAGTCCTGAAGTGATGCCAGTGTTACTTCCGGAGGGCTAAGGGGATGGGCATCAGAGGCTGACCTGCTGCAGGTTCCCACTGAGGTCTCTGTGTGGGGCAGGACACACCTATTTACAATTCTTCATGCTAGTCTCAGCTACTTATTTCTGCTCCTCCAGACACCTTTGCTGTTGGGCCATCATAAAAAAAAAATGCAGGGGATGCAACTGCTGGGTCCCCCGCCCCACAGCCTTGCTCTCTGACACTTCCATATGCATGGCCTTCCCCTTCCCCACCCCATTATCTTCTTTTCAGAATCAACACCATATTATGTTGAACGTACCATATAATTTTGCCTCCTCCACCAATTTCTGGCTCCTCTGCCGCAAGTTCTCAGTGTCTGCCAAAGCTCGTTTATATTTTTCCTAAAATAAAACAAATATTTTAAAATATTTTTTAATTTTTTGAGACGGAGTCTTGCTGTCTGTCGCCCAGGTTGGAGTGCAGTGGTGTGATCTTGGCTCACTGCAAGCTCCGCTTCCCAGGTTCATGTCATTCTCCTGCCTCAGCCTCCCAAGTAGCTGGGACTACAGGTGCCCGCCACCATGCCCGGCTAATTTTTTGTATTTTTAGTAAAGACGGGGTTTCACCGTGTTAGCCAGGATGGTTTTCATCTCCTGACCTTGTGATCTGCCCGCCTCAGCCTCCCAAAGTGCTGGGATTACAGGTGTGAGCCACCACGCCCGGCTGGGAGATTTATATTAATATGGAACAAAGTCATACGAAAGCGAGCTTGATTGGAAAATGGCTGTGTAACTAACTGCAAGTCAAAACAGAAGTAATATCACTGCCTTTGAAATATGACTAAGGAGGGTAGCTTAACGAAAGCTTAATAAAAGCTGCACTCAGGATCTTTTGCTATGTTCAATGTTACCCAGAGGTGGCTCAGTTCAAACACTCTTTGTGTAATCATCATCTGAGTTCTAGTATATTCCTCATGTCTCACCATCTTCCTGTAAGCTCACTCATCTGAGCTTTTCTCTCTCTCTTTTTTTTTTTTGAGACAGGGTATTGCACTATTGCCCAGGCTGGAGTGAAGTGGTGTAATCTCAGCTCACTGCAGCCTCAACCTCCTGGGCTCAAGCAATTCTCCCACCTCAGCCACCTGGGTTGCTGGGACTACAGGAGTGCACTACCACGCCCAGCTAATTTTAATTTTTTTTTTTAGAGATGGAGTCTCACTATGTTGCCCAGGCTGGTCTTGAACACCTGGGCTCAAGCAATCCTCTTGCCTCAACCTTCCAAAGTGCTATCAGAGGGGTAAGCCACTGCGCCCAGCTAGCTTTTCTCTTTTTAACATTTACTAAATTGCTCTGTGGGGGCCTCTAGACTGCATCCATTTTCAGTCTTCAGGTAATCACTGTGCAGTGGCAAGGAGTAAGAGCTCCAAGTCTAGATGGTCCTGGTTCAAGTCCTGGCTCTGCACCTGGCAGCCAGGATTAACATATGTAACGGGTTTGGAATGGTGCCAGCACTCAGGGTTTGTCATCATTCTCAAATCCTTAAAGAACTTGATTTGTGCCACCCATGTGTTTTCACATGGAGTAATAATTCATGTTCCTAGTTCACAAACCTCCTACCTGCCTATGAGAGCATGACATAAAACCATACTCCGGCTCCCAACTCCTGTACTTGAAATTTTCTGCTTCCTCTCCTAAGTCCCAACCTAAACAACCATACTGAGCATTCCTCATTTGTAAAGATGATTTTAAGTTTTAATTCAATGACAAATAATAGCATGTAAAGTTCATTCTCTTGCCAGAACCACAGCCACATAGGATTTGGGTTCTAGTCTTTGCTTTGGCAGTAACTTGCCACCTGGGCCCACTGCAGGCCGTGGACAACGGCTTAACTCTGGCTTTAGTCTGTCACCAATGAAGCCTGGAACCTTTATGTGGCCAAGCCCACTCCCACAGGAGCCTGACAGTCCTCACCACAGTCTCCTTCAGCTGCTCCTCCAACTTAACCTTCTCTTCCAGGAGGCTCTTCTCTGTAGCAGGAGGATCTGCCTTCTGTTCACTCTGAGCCATGTCCTCTTCCAGGTTCTGGCCACTGTTCTTTTGTCTCGTGGCTGTGCACAACAACCGGGGAGGTGGCCTGCAGGGAGTCCACACGCGAGACGCGAAGGCTTTGTTTCTGTGTTTATTGAAGGCAGATGTATGATTTCAGAAACTTAAAATAGCTTCAAACTATTTACTATTACTTGGGGAGAAAACATCTCTCTTAGATCT